CCGCCGCAAACGGCGGTTTTCGACGGCGCTCTGGGTTTTCCGATTTGTGGATCTCGTTTCGACCACGAATTTTGAGGCTGCTTTCAAATATGGTGCCAAACGACAAACGAGGTATGTCGTTTCCTATGTACTATCTCTTGAAAGCTTGAAAAATAAGAAAAATGTTTTTAAGGAGAAAGTGCTTTAAATTATTTACTAATCTTGTGAAATTTCACAATATTAATTTCTACAATATTTCATAAAGGTTAACAAGTAACAATTATTATTTAATTTTATCTCTTTACTCACGTGTCCTTAACATTTGAAAAAATTATGAATTTAATTCTTCAAAAAGTGAAGAAATTTACATTAAAAAATAATTATAATTAAATACATACATATATTATAAATAGTATAATTATATTAATTTTAATTAATTATTAGAATTCGTGTCTGAATTTCTCAAATAAATTCCACAGTTTAACTAACAGATAATTTGACTCTGTTGAGTTAACTTTTACTACACAAGTTAGGGGTAGGGGTAGGGGTAGGTGACACATATTCCAAATTCAAAATTCAAATATGGGAAATAATAAATAAGTGGTGCCTTTACACTAATGTATGGACTTCAAAATTCAAAATAGAGGGCTGCTTCAATTCTTATCACCTTGTTCAATTGAACTTTTCTCTCATGCAAGGCCTACTCATACATTCATACCACTATTTATTTTTTCTTCATTGGCCATATTTTAAATACCAAAAGAAAAAGATGGCCTATTTTTGGTTTTTTTTTATCCCACCTAACATATATTATTTTTCAAATGACAATAAATAATTATTTTTATTCTTTAAATAAACCTTCCTCTACACACATTATAAGAAAATAATAAATTAAGAAAGATTTTTCTTTTGTACAAAATTAAGAAAGATGTGTATGGAAAGTAAATGTATTTTTCTAATGAAAATAATAATTAATACTAAAGACTGTTTCATAAAAAATGAAGTGTATCTATATAAAAAAAATGAAGAGCATATAATTATTCACATTTCGTATGTGTAATGATGTAAAAAAAACGTCATAATTTAAACTTTGTGGGTAATAATTTTCGCTATTATACCTAGTGGTTCAATTGTTAATATTATTTAATTCATACACGAGTAATTTTTAATGATAAAACATGTTATTAATTAATTATATCTTTAAATGTGTGTTTATTAGAGTTTTGGATCTATAAATAAAGTTAATTTATTGATCATCAATTTAGTCAAAATTACCTTTTTTTTTTAGGTTTTGTGTTTTAGAGATTGTTTTATTTTATTTTATTGTCATAAACATAATTGTCGATAAGTATTGTAAATTTTTTACTCAAATAATATTGTTTTAAATTTTTTTTTACCTAAATAGCAATTGTGCAAATTTATTTTCTCAACTAGCACCATTTACTATTCAAGTTCAGAATGGGCCGTTCTGATTTCAGAACAGGTCGTTCCAGATTAAAAAAATAACACATGGTGAATAGATCAGAATGAACCGTTCTAAATTCAAAATTAGCACATGAAAAGTGGAACCAGAACGAGCCATTCTGCTTCTAGAACAGGCCGTTCTAGCATATAGTGTAACGACCCGCCAGGTCTCACACTGTCTATAGCGTCCAAATACAAGTATAAAATAAAATCTCACTACTAAACAATTATATATATAATGAGAATACACAACTAAAAAGTCCCATAATATATATAACTGAAAATAGGGAATAATACCCTATACAACAACTAGGTAGTCAAATTGCTACCAATCAACTCAATACAACGTCAGCCCTCCTCCTAAGTCCCAACCAAAAAGAAGTTCACCCAGCCAGCATAGCACCTAATCCTGATCTGCTCGCATACCAAGGTATGGTCATCGCAGTCCCAACCACACGGGAAAACATGCTAGGGTAAGCTCACAACAATAATCATAAGAAAATAACATCAACATATAATAAACAGCAATAAAATTATACTTTCAACTTGCAACTTAAAGCAACACAACACCTACAACAATAGATATATAATATAATCTACTAGCAATAACATTTTCAACACATCGCACTTTATTCAAATTGGCTGCTTGTAATCGGTATAGCTCGGCCTGTCCCCTGTACCGTGGTCGCTTCATACACGTGTGCCTCGACCTTACCCACACACGAGACCAACCAAGTCCTAGAGGAGAACAACAAATCATCAACTCCAAGGGAGGGTTTTTTAAACAAATTGGGCTCTCAGAGCACCACAACTATCTCAATCCGTACAATGGGATGAGCAACTTTGAAAACTTCTCCTCTAGTCCTAGTGATCAACAACTCGTCACAACACAATTACATAGTATTTATCACAATAACTCAACTATCAACTCATTCATACAACATTATATACAACTTGAATGAACAACTCATGCAACATCAACTAATGCGTCGTCACGCATATACAACTAGGAGATCTCCAACAACTGAGGTTGAGCAGTCTAGGTGGCATAAACCCTACTGAATCCAGCGTTTGACCTATCTCAACCAGGTCAGGTATAGGACATTGTTAGGAATTTCGAAGAGAACCAGACATAAACAACAATAGGTGATTGCTTAAGTGTGCCACTTAGACTCAAAGGTCCAGTACTACTTTAGGACAGAAGAGTTTGGGTACGAGCCTACCACGACCTTGACTAGCATCACCAATCCACATATGGAGTTAGCCCACCCACTGTCCTCCAAGTACCATGCACCCTCTAGTACCTAGTCAAAGACTACATCTTTAACTAGATACCTTACTCAAATTGGTCATTCAACCATGACATGAATCGACTACTTCCATGTCACCCACACAGTACTAAGGGATTCATCTTTAAAACAACTTTCAACTTATTACCTTAGTACTATGTATCTCAACATAGGACATATATCTTCACCATATGTCCCCAACTTTTCAACTTTACAACAATAGGCAACTTTACAACTTTATAACAATAGACAACTTATACAACTTTACAACAATAGGCAACTTATACAACTTTATAACAATAGACAACTTATACAACTTTACAATAATAGACAACTTATACAACTTTACAACAATAGGCAACTTATACAACTTTATAACAATAGGCAACTTATACAACTTTAATAAACAACTTGAGTAACTATAGTCATCACAATATCAACTTTACGACTTCACAACTATAGACACCCTTCATTAAACTTGACAACAATAGTCATCTTGATACTTTAAATCAACTTAATGCAACTTAACAACTTTAAACAACTTTTACAACAATAAACTACTTCAACTTATACATCTCAACTTATTAATAATTCAACAATAAACAACATAAAAACAACTTAGTTTCACCAAATACACAACGTATAACAACTTTAACAACATATCACATATTATCAACACACAACATATGAACAACTTAAGCCAACAACTACTCAACTCATCTTCATCAGGCAACTTAGCAACTAAACCACGTTATAAACAACTTCTAAAACTCAAGAACAGCTACATGCAATCACTAACAACAAAACCCAACTTTTTAACTCAATCCGCACCCAACAACTTAACCATTTTCAAGGAAAACAATGCATGAAGCTTCCATAACCTGAAGATTGGCTCAACATTGCCAAGAGCCGAGAAGAAGCGGAATTTCCTTCCGAGGCTCAACCTGGGAACCTCAATCTTCTAAAAGCAAGCTTCTTGGCCTAGAGTCCTTCTCTCTAAAACCTCTCTCTAAGTTCCCCTTTTCTCCCCCTCCTCAACGCCTAATTATAGAGGTCAGGAGTGACCAGAACGGCCCGTTTCGAATCTGAAATGGCCCGTTCTAGGCTCCTTCGTCATGTGTAAAATTCACATGCAGAACGACCCGTTCTAAAACCAGAACGACCTGTTCTGGCACGTCTAGAACAGTTCATTCTGGAGTTAAATTTAACTCACAACAACCATGTTTGGAACGACCTGTTCTCAACTAGGATTTACAAGCCTATTTAGTGGTCTGGAACGGCCTGTTCTGGGCTACTAAATCACCCTTGTTTTAGTAGTTTGGAACGGTTTGTTCCAATTTTGGAACGGCCCGTTCTGATCCATTCGTCATGTGTTATTTTTTAATCTGGAACGGTCCGTTCTGAAATCAGAACAACCCGTTTTGAATGTGAACAGTAAATGATGTTAGTTTAGGAAATAAATTTATACGGTTGTTATTTAGGTAAATTTTTTCTAAAATAGTATTATTTGAGTAAAAAACTCGAGCATTGTCCCAAAAAATAATAATTAATGATTAATTTATACTTATGACACAACATTCGCCTAAAATAATAGAGGGGTGGTTCGATATGTAAATGATGGAGGACATTGTGAACAGAAAAGAAGGGAAAATTTACGTTTGTTGAATTTGTAATTTTTGTTCTTAACATTATTGTAGACTATGAATGTGAGTGGTCTGTGATAAATTTTTAATCATGAAGTGTGAGATTTTATGCAAATAAAAATGAGAGATTTTTAATCATGAAGTGTGAAAATTTTAAATTTGATGGATCAAAATTAGTCTTAACTCAAATATGAGTGACTAAAACATATTTAAACAAAAAAATCATATAAAAATAATTTTATATTAATATTTTTAATGTTTTATTAAATATTTTTTTTAGTATAAATTAATTATTATTTTAAAACTAAATTATGTTATATAAAATATTTATTTTTAAGAAAATAAAAAATAAAAAATATTAGAACTGACCTA